GGAGGGGCTTCTTTTGTTAATTGGTGTGTGTCTAAATAGCGGGACCCCGCCATGGTGCGTTTTTGCTGTTTTGCATTTGTTTTGAAACCAAGCTAAAGAGGCCACTCTCAAAAACACACCCAAATCAACCAGCCTAAAGGTGCCGAATCTTTTCCCCCAAATGCACTGGAGGGCTGGAGTCATTGGAGAGAACCGACACGCATTGTGTTTCCAAACAAAAACCAGATGGTTGCGCGTTCTGTTTGTTTGCTCTTTTGGATCGTTTCATGGTTGGTTCTTTGCAATGGTGTACTTGATCATTTAATTAAAGATGATGAATTCTCCATTCTTGATCGTCAAACATCCTTTTGAGTAAAATTTGAGTCATCGCTGAGTTCTTTTGTTGGACTGCCCCATAAGTTGGTGTCTTTGCAACGGTGTACTTGATAATCAAGTACAGATGATCTATTTTTTTATTTTCGGCGGGCGGCATCTCCGAGCTCTCTCGAGCGAGAACCACAGCGTGAGGCGGTGTTCCACTTCTTCGACAGCAGCGGGGGCGGAGTGATCCGGGGCGAGCAGCTGCACAGCCTCTTCCCTGCCAAGCCGAAGCCCAATGGGCGGATGGGGGCGGATGGGGGATGGGTGGGTGGGTGGGGATGGGTGATGGGGGTGTCATTTCTTGGCTCCCAGCCATCCGGTTCCTTAGCTTTGTAGATCTTTTTAGCTGCTTCCGTGCCTGGGTTTCCATTCTGACCACCATTTTCAGCCGGTCATGTTACGTTGGTTGGCTTTGGCCGGAGCTGATCTTGTCAGCTTAGGGATTTAGCAAACGGTCCGTGATACCATGGGGATGGCCGGTGGTTGGACAAACCACCAAGATGACAACATATTTTGATCCATGGCCTGGTCATCTTGGGGCCGAAGGGAAGGTTGATCAACGAAGATTTTTCTGGGGTCGCGGGTAGCCAACCCGGCAGTGAATTTAGGCAACCATGGTAAGGATTTCAGCTTCCGCCGAATTGGTGGCTTGGATTGGTGGTTTGGAGGTTAAGGGGTGGTTTTCCATTTGCCCTCTGCAAGAACCAGGGATTCACATCTCCAAACCACCAACCCAGACCACCGACTAGGGTTACCTGAGGATTGCCATTCAGGGAAGCGTTTGACCCGAGAAACCATCATGGCACATGTGAGCCCATTTATAGGGCACTTGAAACTTTGACCCAATAGGCCAACACAGGCTGGGGGCGGTTCATCCGGTCGGGACCTGTTTGAGTTTCGGTTCAAACTTCCTGGTCTTTGCACCTTTCTGCTTGATCAATCTTTGACTTTTCGGGAAGGTGTATGTTTTTTTTTCTTCCCCCGGCCGAGACTTTACCTGTTGCGACCACAAAGTCTGCAAACATTTCCCAGTTCTCCCCAGGCACTGCTCAAAGTCGGGGACCCCCAAAATGGTTTGCCAACGATTTCCACTCCCCAGGCACTGCTCTCGGACGATGTTGCCAAAATCGGGGAACCGAAAAGGGTACACTCCAAAACACACGGCACAACTACTTCAGGTAAGGCTTTTGGCATTGGTCAAGCCTGCCTCCTGTGCGAAGGCGGAAGATGGTTTGCCTCTAAATGAGGGAGACTGACAAAAATACAGGTAGTCCATCGTCAGTTGCCATAGTGTATGGGGAGCCCACCCAACTCAAGCACAAAACCAAGGGAAGTTTGACCAGATCTCGCCTCAGTTTGATTTGGCTCTATGGCTGAATGGACAGACCCTTTAAGACTAGTTTTGTTCCCTCGGACATGGTTTCGCCCGAATCCCATGTGGTGAGAGGGTCAACCCAAAACATTGTTTTTCAAAGAATGGGTGCTTCTCCAAATAGTGGTCCCCCAAAATTGTTGGTTTCCTGCCTGTGAGTCGTCCATTGAAACAAAGGCTGGTTTCAGTTGACCTTTGTTTGCACCGATCAACTTTTCTTTGCCGTGAACGGCCTTTTCCGCAACTTGAGGCTCCTGACCTGGGGTCCCATGGTTCGAATCGCAAGAAACAAAGGCACTTTCTAAATCTGTGGATCAGCTTTGCTGCCGTCCAGGGAAATCTTAAAGAAAGCTGGGGCACCCGTGAGGCTCGCGTGAAACCGCCGCGATTTTTTTTCCCGGCCGTGGACGACCTTTCATGATGTGCCCAGTTTTTCGGGGCATGTTCGGGCATGACCGCGGGGTCTCAGGCCTGCACAGAGCCAAAGATGCGCAGTTGGACGCTCTCAAAAATGGGACCGACGGAAAAAGAAAGGTCTCTGTGAGTCCGTCTTTCTTTTCAAGGCCCTTTGAATGTTAGGGGTATCCCTTGAAATACCTGCCAAAAAGGAGATTCCTCCCAATTTCGAGACACTCCGAATCTTTGCCGGGGCCCTCTTTCAATCCCTCTTTTGAGTTCCTACCCTCCCAACTAACCCCGAACCTCACGTCCGTCCCTGTAAAAGGACAACATAGTGACAACATGGTCCAGGAATTTCCCGCACGTCAGCTTGCTCCATGACCAAATTCCCGTCCCGCCGTGGGCGTCGGGTCTGAGGTCGGAGTCCGAGTGCTCCTCCATGATCCGACAGAGCTGCGGGAAGGCGCCGCCTGAAACCCGAGCGAGCGAGCGCGGCAGATTTCGGGTACGAAACCTAGCGGAAGCTGTGGGCCTACCAACCTCACGTCTTGAGTTGATGGACTTTAGTCAGGTCACTTTTTGGGTTTGGACCTGTGGCAAACATGTTGTTAGTTTTTTTTAGGACTGTTTTGGCCAATCCTGAGAAAAGGAACAGCAGCCCGATATCCCCAACAGCCAGTGATTCCAAAGGTGAGTTCTAGTTGCTGGTTTGGATGGCGTGGATCTGGATTTGAAAGTTGCCCCGAAAGCTGCCCCAAGCCACCCCGAACCGAACGAGCCCATTTTTGGGCAGAGAACATATAGCTTTCAGCTGGGGCAAAATGCTTACCTGCTGTAACCCCGGGATCCGCAGGGTTAAAGGCAAACCAAAAGGAAAGCCATTTGTTGGGTCTCCGCAAAAAAAACAAAAACACGTGTTGTTGGCATGTGCCCAGTCCATCGAGTTCTGAGCCTTTGGCCGTCCCATCCTTGGCCCAAAGACCCCAAAGGTGATCGACCGTCTCACTTGAGCCAGGCAAATGGGCAGACATTTGCATCCGGGAATTCCGGTGTGCCAAAGGAAGGTCCGATCAAGTGACAAAGTAGTCACATGTTCAAGGGTACTGGTGTGAACATGGGCACGTTCTTGGCTTTTGAGAGGCTCTTTTTTGGAGGTGTCTTTGCTGAAGGGGAAGCCACACATGTTTGCAGGTTCCCGTGCAAAGACAACTTCCCACGTGTTTTGGTGCCTTGGCTGCTGTTTTGGTCTTCAGGTTTTCTGGTGGAAAGAGCCACGCGGGGCTGGGATCCCGGTTTCCCTCCATAGACCCTCAGGCTCAGGTTGATGCCAGCCACATGGGGGTTGATCGACATTTTCCAGTTTGACTATGGGTAACTTTTAAACCATTGGTTTAAACGATTCCCTAAACCATTTGGTTTAATATATCCAAAGATTTTACCAAGTCTTTTTTTCCTTTTCTGTAACCGATGGCCATCCCATGCACGGACCTTTTGATCACCCCCCAGGCTGGAAAGTGGTCAACCGAGCTGGTGATTTGTTGGGCCCCCAACCCCCCGCCCCCCCCCTTATTCACCGGCAGGTCAAATGGTTGGTTTCCTGGAAGGATTCTCCCTCTCCTCCCCTCCCTCCCCTCACTCCCTCCCCTCCCCTCCCCTCCCCTCCCCTCCCCTCCCCCCCCTCCCCTCCCCTCCCCTCCCCTCCCCTCCGCTCCCCTCCCCTCCCTCCCCTCCCCTCCCCTCCCCTCCCCTCCCTGCCTCCCTCCCTCCCTCCCTCCCTCCCTCCCTCCGTTTCCTTGTAGGGGCCCGGGGGGGGGTTCAACGACGTTCAAACGAGCCCGAGAATCTGGAGACCTCAGCACCACCGCGGAGGTCCAACAGTTCCAACGGCCCGAGAACTTACCTGGCGGGACCCAAAATGGGTTGCCCTGGTTCATAGCACCAAGGACTAAAACCACTCATTTTGACCCATACCCATCTCAGATTAGCCCTTCGAATCGACCAGATCTGACCTTTGAGCTTCCCTTGGTTGGCAGCCAGTTTTTGCCATGGCCGCCAACAAGGCTCACTTTTTTCCATGTCCGTTTCTAGCCATGGCCCCAAAAGTTTCACATTTTTCCATGTCCTTTGGGCAAGCGAGACTTGGCACCAACAGCGCACCAACCCAAACGCTTGCGGCCAACGATTCTTCGAGCGGTTTCTCGTAGGACTCGATGAATTTCGGGGACTTCCAGCGGGTCATGCTGCCGATGAATTGGAAGGCCGGCTTTTGGTTCCTTGGATCGGAGCCGGATCCTGGCACAGTGTTTTGGGTTTGTCAGCCTTGGTCTTCCAAGGACCCGCAAAAACAGGCCCCTTGACTTTGCTCTTGGTTGAAGGAGGAACAGCCAAAGGCCTGCTCAGGGTACATGGGCGCCCAAATTTTGATGTCGGGCTTTAAACAGCTTCCCTTCATTAGCCAACCAAAAGGGGGGGTTCACCAGAAATACGCGACAGAAAGAATCCGCACCAGGGGTTCAAAGCAGACACACTCAACACATGACCAAGCATGAACAACTAGAAAGGGCTCATGAAACACTGCTAGGATGACAGTTGCTGCGCAGATGAGTTGAGGAATTCCTAGCTAAGGGGCTGCAAACAGGTTGGTTCCCCTTGAAACACCAAACGACAAACTTGTTTGCCCTTACCGGAATTCACCAACCCGAGCTGAATTCCGAGCATTTCAGACAGCTGCACAGCCAGTCGTCGCTGTCAGTCAGGAGGCTCCGCAGCAGGTCAGGTGGCTCCGCAGCAAGTGGTCCTCCAGCCATGAGCGGTGCAAGCAGCGCCATACCAAGCAGACACCGCCATCATAGCTCGGAAGTGAGCTCCAAATCCGAACTGCGAAGCCAAGCAACGGGTCCGTCAGCTCGCCGATCCAACTTTTGGGGTGCCTCTTTGGTCCCGGAAGTCTCAAACCGGATTTCGGTTTTCCCTTTCGGCTTCTATACCTTATTGCAAAGCAAAGAGTGCCAACGAAACTAGAGCAAGAAACGCATCTCGTGGTGGTCTGCCTTGCAAGCCAACCAGGCAAGGGGAACCTCGGATTCATTGCCCCCCGGTAGAAGGTCCTGAAGGTTCCAAGACTCCAGGAACTTTGGGTTCGGGAGGGCTGGAGGGCTTCCGATTCAGCTTGTGGGGCCAAACACCACCTGCATAGTAATCAACTAGTTGGTTGAAATTGATATTAGATGTTTCTTAGGCGTCAGTGTGCTTTTTTGGCTGACATATGCATCTTTATTAAGCCGGAGGAAACGGCTGGTTTTCGAAAAGAAGGATGGTTGAAAAGAATGGGAATCAGCTGTTCATTCAAAGCCACAAAAGAAAGGGGCCTCTTTTTGGGAGATCGCTTGTTGGGTGCTTTTAAGAGGGGGGGAACCAACGGAACGCCGAAAGAGAGGGAACCAAGCCCAGGTTGAAAAATGGTGGGTTTCCTCTTAGGATCCTTTTAGACACCGCCCGAAATCGCTTTCTGGGGGTTTATGAACATCTGGGGCTGGTTTTTTGGCCCGTGCAACAGCGATGTCTGATTCAGTTTTCCCCCGAAAAGAAGCACTCCCCCCTGTTTTGTTGTAAGTGGTTGGTTTCTGAAAATCTGGGATCAAAACACGAAGCGAAGCCCAGAGACGTGGATCCTAGCTCTCTCTCGCTCTTGCGCGCAGCCCCCGGTGGTGGCTGCGGCCTCCTGGGCGGAGGTGCCAGCGGGGAGCCCAGAAGATCGCGGTTTGGGGGGCGGGCCTTTGGACGGTTGTGGAGCTCCCCACTGACCTGGGGTGTCCCCATTGGGTTGGCAATTTATCGCCTTCTGAGTTCGGCTTTTTGGACTTCTTCTTTTTTTGGAAGATCAGTTTAGTGGTAAACGGTTTTACCATGTTTCTAAATGTGTGGTTTTACCTTCTTTTGGCCCTGGAACACAAGGAAGCGAGTTTCTGGTAAAGTGAGATGCTGGTTGGTGGATTCCCAACCACTTTGGAGGTGACTTTGCTGATAAGTCATGTGGCCAGTCGGCATTCCCTCCTAGTTTAGCTTTTGCAAGGGCCCGGTGGGTAATTCCGAAACAGCAACAACACATCGACCGAAGAGAGAGCCCGATGAAACCGGCGTCTCAAGGCTAGAGGTCAACAGGGTTCTGGCTTTGTCTTTTGTTAAGTTGGACCCTTTTGATTGGGGGAAGTGCATTTCGAAAGCGACAATTTGGGGTCCCCCTATTTTGATACCCAAATAAAGGCGCCCCTTCAAAGGGAATTCCGACCGAGCGAGTAGGGATTGGGAGATTCCTTGCCCACAGCGTAGCCGGATTTTTTCGCGGAAGCCAGCAGGTAGCCCTTAACCTTGCAGAGACAAGCCTCCGGCAGATCTTTTGAAGGTGGCGGCATGGTGGGCTTGCCTCATGTCATTGCACCAGCCTTTTGTCCTTTAGCCAGCTATCAACCCATTGCCAAACCTGTCTGCTCAAGCAGAGTTGGTGACCTTGCCAGAAGCAAAGGTAGCAGAAGTCGCGGCCAGAGTGGAAGCCGCAGCTTGGAAGGCAAACTGTTGGATAGCCCCAGAGAAGCCTTTGTGGGGTTGGCTGCAATTTCGGGGGGCCGGGGGGGGGGGGGAAAGGCGGGTGCGGTTCCACTGTTGGATCGGCCTTGAGGATCTTTCGAGCCCGATCCTGGTGAAGAAGACTTCGAGAGAGAGCAAGCACCAGGCGCTTGTGCGTGCTGCCAAAATCATGTCGTGTGTCGGGTATTAGACTGTTTGAAACGCGGTGTTGGGTAATCTGAAGGGAAGCCAAAAGACAACCAACCGATTTTTAGGGCACCTCTCTTTTGAGAAGCACCCAAAGGGGTGTTTTCGAAAAAAAAGGGACCCCTCCAGGTAGGTGGGTTTTTGGTTGGTTTCCCTTTAACACCATTCAAAACGGGGGTCCCCTATTTTGCGAGACGCCCATATGGACTAGAATCCGCAGATGTGATTTTCCGCGTATGGGTACCAGCGGGCACCACGACTTTGACAACGCCAGCCAGAACATGAGCCAATGAGCGACCCCGTCCTTCGATTCTTTGTGTTGGGTGGGCGAACTTTTGGATTTCATCATACCCCCTGCTCCAAATACCCGCCCATTTTTAGGGCACGATGTCGACCCTCTACTAAAAAAGAATGTATTTTCCGTGAAAAACCAGGTTCTCCAAAAAATACCCCGAAAGAAAAGACGGGTATTTGGAGTAAGGGGTAGGCGAAAGTTGAAACCTTCAGTGTGAGCTCCGGCCACCCTTCCTATCGATTGGAACACCAGACATGGGCATCACTCCCTGTGATGTCTACCAAAAGCTTTTTTTGGAAGAATCGACCCTGGCTGCATGTTGACTCATTGCCATGGGGTTTTGGGGCTGCTCTTTCGATACCGGCTTTTGGTGATGACCCAGTTGAAAGCCTGGGTTACATCCGGTCCGCTCCAGGCCAACAATTCGCTCCGTGCCCCCTGGGTCCAGAGGTTGGCGAGAAAGTTGGGGAGTGTTTCGATAGGGAAATACCAACGAAAGTTATGGTTTGTTTCCCATGGCTTCATTCGGTGCGACATGGAGTGCAAGAAACCATGCAGAGTATGGCCAGGAGTCTTGTAAGCCCGGAGATCCGCCAAGAAAGACTTGGAGACACAAATTCCGGCCGTGCCGCTCAGCCTGAAAAAGGCCAGGTTCAGGATTCCTTTGAGCCTGACCAAAACATCAGGATATAGACAAGTGGTGATCCTTTGGTTTCCCTAGGGACTGAATGTCTTGCCGCGCAGCCTTGCGTGTGTTACCTCCACACTTTAATTGCATTGTCCCCAACAAATTTACATGGAACCCATGGGTTCCGTGTTAATTTGCAACGCAGGTAAGGGGTCTCAATCCACTGGGAGAGAAACCCATGACAAAATGACGGGCTTCGTCCGTTGATCCCTGCATGTTTGACTCCGTCACAACGAATGCTGTACAAGTAGCTTTGCTTGTAGATCACAACTTCTCTGTTCTCGGCACAATCTTTAGTTTTTTTTTTTTTTTTTTTTTTGTGGCGGGCTGCAAACACACAGTTTTCGCTCACCTGCCAAGAAGGGAGGGGAAAGACCCTCGTCTGCCAAGGTTTGTTTTAGTGAGTTCTTGCACATTTTCCTCAGCAAAGAAATGCCAGCCAATGCCCCAGACAAACCGGGCGCGGAGCTCTAAATTCCCCGTGCTGACTGTATGAAGACGAGTTGTTCGAGCCGGCAAACCGCGCAGGCGAGGCTTGGATGTTCTTCAGACCCAGAGCATGATGCGCCGCCGCAGGCCGCGGAAAGCACGCGGCAGGGTTCTGGGTGGACCCATGGTGCCTGTTTCATACAGCCCAAAAAGGGCGCCACCGCCAAACATGAGACCCATATGAGGTTCGGTTGAAAATTGTCCAGTATATCAGCTAGGTCCCTAGTGCCCTTTTACCCCCTTTTTTGGGGGAGGGTTCCCCCACTAAAATGGACTACAGAAAAAAGGGTACCCTTATTCGAACCTCTCTACTGGAGGACCTAGTCAGCGCCGTACATGCCCCCTCCACTATTTTAGACAACCATGGTTGGAGTTCCTAAGGGAGGAAGCCACGATGACCCACATGAGGCTCTGGCAAAATACCGGGTCTGCGATCAATTTGGGGGGAGCGGGCGAATCCTCCACGTTTCCCGCTCTGAAATTTACCCATGTCCATTACAACGAGGACACACTGACATTTACCAATGTCCACGATAGGAACCGCATATCTTGATGGCACATATGGGTTTTCAGCAAGCGTTCGGTTGCAAACCCCATGTCCGAACCCTAGGAGCCCAAGACCCTAAAGGCCCTAAATATGAGGGCCTTGACCCCCTAAAGGCCTCCAAAGAATGAGTCTTGGGCTAGGGAAAGAATGTTTTCGTCAGATGCGTTGTGTGCCTTTTTCCCTTTGGTGTGCGAAGGAGGCTTTCCTGGCCCAAGCCGATTTCGGCGGCGGTTTCTTTAGAGTCTGCATGGGTTGCTTTTTGGTGTTGCTGTAAAGGGAAACGAAGAGGAAGCGCAACATCTTGAGAGTGCCCCTACTTTGAGACAAACCCGTATATCGCTTAAAAAGGGAATTGGGGCAGTATGTGCCCATATTAGACACACCGCCAAACAAGCCAGAGAATGCTGATAGACATTCGGTTTCTTTTTGGTTTCCCCTGAAACCATCCAAGAAGGAACCCCTATTTTGAGAATCACCCATATGTGTATGGGTCATAATTAGTCACTACCAGGATATGGACCGCAGGTTTTAGTCTTTGCTTCCATTTACCGAACGGACAACCCATTTTACGCATTTTTGACAACCGCCGCCAATCAGGGACCCCTGAATCACTGAAGACTGAAGAGTTGCTTTTGGTTTCCTTTTGACAAGCACAGCCAGCTGAGGGGTCGCCTCGATTTCCCGAAAGTCAAAGAAAAGGCCTGACGACTTGATTTCGTTTCTCATGCCTCCAGAGTCCATTGGAAAATGGGCAACCTGCTGGTTTTTTCATTTTAAAGGGAAGGCCCCTCCAAACAAGAGAAAAAGGAGGCTCCCTTTTGAGGTGGAAGACAAAACAACTCATCTTTGACTGTGCTTTTTTTGTTCGTCTTGCGGGGCTTTCCTTGGGCCTTTGCTTTGAAGGAAGCCATGAGGAAACCATGCCGCAATTTCAAATCTGTAATGTGGCAAGTGATTGCCCCCTACGTGTCTACGGGTGTCAAGGGCCCCCTTTTTGCCATGGTTTCTCTGCCCAGAGCTCCAGGGGTTCTGGGGCTGTTGGGGATACTTGGGCTTTTTTTTGGTGAAATAACTCATCGTTCCCTGACACCACAGGAAGCCGACCAATCTTCTACTTTGGTCGAGACTCCGCACTTTGCACAAGGTTTTCTTGGCAATTTAGAAGCCTGGAGGTGGCAAACGCTTCTGCGCCACTTAGAAAACTGGCCTTCCCAAAACAAACTCAACTGGTGCAACGGTTGCCTGGTGTCAGCGAACAATTCAAATCCCAAAAGACCTGGTAGAGGGGAGTCATGACACGTCCCACTAAAAGTTTAACTTCGAGCAAGAGATCAACAACCACCAAGTCAATGCAATTCATGGCTTTACGATCCAGGTACGTCCAGGTCATTCCTCAATGTCCCCGTTGGACTAATTGTCTGGGGCTGGTTTCACACCTTTGCTTTTAGGGTTTTACCACAAAGCTGCCGTCTCCAAAATTATGTTGAATATGAACGGGATCTGAACTCCATCCTGTACCCCTAGATAAAACTCGTACGACAAACATGTTTTTTGTGTCATAGTCAACATCAAACAATAAGTCTGAAAATCCCTCCCTGGATTCCCTCTTTGTACTATAGTTTTGCTTGTGGCAGCGTCCAAGTCACGCTAAAGCCATGTCGCCGGTGTTTCTGCGCTTCCCGTGGGTTTCGCTTGGCAAGCTGCCCGGACAAAGAGCGCCAGCTCCTGTTAGGCAATCATCAGCCGAGTGACCTCGGCCCCGTCAGAGGCGCGCGGAAAGTTGTGTGTGTGTGTGTTGCTTCGTTCCATATTGAAAAACATCCCAAAGACGGTAGCCTCAAACAAACCGCACCCACATGTCTTCCTATGGTTTCGAGCTCGCTGATTTTCCCGCTGGATGGCTTTTTTGCTTTCCCAATAGGATGGCCTTCTTTTCTGCGGGCTACGCATCCAGGAACCTTTTTTTTCCCTTAGACGTCCGCATTGCCACGCTTGGGGATTTCAAGTGAACTGGAATGTTTTGGTGGGGAAACAAACAAATCATCCCCTCAGTGAAGAGGGTGGCCCATCGGGCCTGGCCCTGCGCCAGCCGCAGCCATTTTGAGACCTAGTTTAGGGGTTTAGGATACGATTTTTTTTTGGGGGGGGGATTTTGAGACGTTTCCCGAATTTGGAGCCCTATTTTTGCGGGTGAGTTTTTTTTTCAGTTTTATGACTGGGAGCTCAGATTGAAACCCTTGCTCGGCCCGAATCCGAGAATCCTGAATCGGGGTTCTCTCTTTGTGGAACACCGGTTCTTAGTGGGGATGGAAATCGACGGTGTCAAAGACAAGGTTGTTCTCATAGGTGTCCTTTTGATCGGTTGGGTTTGTTGAAAGAACATAGATGTCCCGGGCTTCAGTTTGGTTCCAATCATCTACCAGTGCCATCATTGTTTTCCAAAAGGACACCTATGCTGCTCACTTCCTGAGTTTATGGAATATAGTCACTTCTTGGGAAGAAAGAACAAAACACCTGGTAACTTCTGTTGGGCCGATCCTCTTGCAAGCCAAGTGCGGTGCCACGCCAGGCATTTGCTATTCGGCAAGTTCCTGGCTTTCACCGCACAACGCCTCCAGCTCAGGATGTTTTTGTAGCTGACAAGAGGCTTGTGGGGGCCATGACGCGCCTTCCGAATGCAGTCAGCAACTCAAAACCGGGGAAAAAAAGAAACACGAGATTAGAAAAGAAGAAGAAAGAAACATGACCATACAAGACAATGCGACTTTGCTTATTGATGACTGGCAAGATGCTGGTCCTATTATGGCTTACTCTTGTTTTCTTTTTTTTTTTTTTTTTTTTTTTAAATAATAACCCACCACCCCATTCAAATTCTATAGCCTGTTCATATGGGTCAACATCAAGCACCAGGATATGGCCCGCAGGTTTTAAGACACCATGCTTCCATTTTCCGAACGGGCTAGACCCGTTTTGGGGTATCCCGTGTTTTTTGGACCGCAGCCAGAAGAACGCGTTGCCAGGTGGGGGTGGTGGGGTTGAAAGCAGCACCGCTCTGAGGCTGCGGCCTTTTTACGAGTCACAGGCGGTGTCAAACGTGGCGGGGGGCCCTGGGTGGTGACTGGGGTTCACACCTTCATCATGGGTGACGTCGCACCCCCCCCCCCCCGAAACGTGACGCCACGAAATGCATTGCTCAGATTTGGGTTGAAAGCCAGGGAAAATGGGAAGAATCAAACAGAAAGGACATGTCTGAGCAAATGAACAATCCCTGGTTGACTAAGAACCTCCAGGTTGCACGGTTTTGAGTAGAGCTTGTCGGATGAGTTTCTTCAGCTGAATCCTCACATATAAGGATCGGGGGTGGGTTTCGGGAAGGCAAAAGAGATGTTCGAGTGGTGTGCCATATTCACAGGACCCAGTAACCCAGTAGCCCCAAGAGAAACCCTTGGAGTTGACCACATTTTTCGTTTCCTGAACCCAAAGAGAAAGGGAAGGGTGCCACTGATCAGACCCAGCGCGCGAGTGAATGCCCTCTGAACAAGTCGTGGTTTTTTGTGGCGCAAGCGGATCAACAGGGGCAGGGTGTGAGTCACCCGAATACCCGGCTTTAGTGATTTTGGAGGGTCTGAAGTTCACCTATGGGTGTGGGTCAATATTAAGTCACCGGAGGACCGCAGATTTTAGTCCATGTTTGCATGAAGGGCAACCCATTTTGGGGCTGCCCTATTTTTGGCACAACTTGATTGTGACCACTTTGGGCTCTCAGCTTCCCCAAGGTTTCGGGCAGCTGTGGACAATGGATGCATTCCGCTGGATTCGTTTGCTTGTCACTGGCCCTATGTTCCAAGCTGCTCGCCTTGGCCCGACACCATGAGATTGAGAAACCCTGGCGTTGGGTCAAAAAGGCCTCCGTTTTTGTGGGGACTGAACGTGGGCGAGAAACGTACCCAAGGTACCAAGACACTAAAAGCTCCAACTTAGTAAATCTGGGCTGAACCAAGGAGGCGTTTTAAAGGGAATCTTGGTGTGTTAGAAGGTATGCTCAAAGGTTTCAGGCTGCTTGGCCATTGGGTTGAATCTTTAACTTGAACCCCTCTAACTTGTTGGGGATCATGCGTGTTTTCCCACCATGGCAGTGTCTTCTCTCTGTTTTTTTTTTTTTTTTTTTGTTTTGTTTTGTTTTTTTAACAAAAAAAAGACCCCCCAAAAAAAAACGAAAAGGAGAGCCACCATTCTGAGACCGCAAAGAAAAAAGACAGACCCATAAACTCACTTCCTGAGTTCCGCTTCGGACTTTACACTTGACGAGACCATTTAGTGGTAAGCTTACACATGTGTCCAAAGCGACTCGACCCATGGTCCATTTTCGGCCCCAACAAGTTACCCTGTGATTCCATGTAGCGGTATAGTAACCATGAGCTTACTACCCTTTTAAAGAACCAAAAGGACAGTCGTTACCTCAGTTGCCCAAACTCAGTTCCTCTTTTCCCAGTGGAATTGGTTGAGTTGTGAGTTGGTGAGTGGGGTGGAGTTGAGTTCCCCTTTTCCCATCCATTTTGGTTTTCAGTTGCCCAACTGAGGTTACCTTTTTGGGCTCACCACCCTTTAAAACAACCAAGACCTTGCCCAAACTCAGTTCCCCTTCTCCATGTTTGGTCCATGTTTTTCCCCTTTTTGGCCCCTCTTTTCTCATTTTTGGGTCATTTTGGGGCCCGTGCTTCCCATCCTCACGGCCCCTTCTCGGTGATCCTCTTGGATCCCGTCCAATGAGGTGCTGGGCCTGGCTTCGGGCTCCTCCGGCTACGCACGCCGCGCGGTGCAGCTGAACTGCGCCGAGCTGGCCAGGGGTCTTGGTGGGTCTTTCTGGTAGCTTCCGTCTTAGGGGTAGCTTCCTTAGCAAGGAATATGTGTGTTTTCAGCCAATCTAGGAGCACCACCCGAGTAAACAACATCAGAAAGGAATAGGTTTTCCATATCCATTCTTTCCAGGGATCCCCAAAAACTCTGGGGAAATGGCGATCGGTTTTTGAACAGAAGGATCCTGCTTTCTAGCAAACCACCAACAATCCTGGGGAACTGGCGATCGGTTTTTGAAAAGAAGGATTTTTCTTTCTAGCAAACCACCAAAACTCCTGGGGAACTGGCGATCGGTTTTTGAAAAGAAGGATTTTTCTTTCTAGCAAACCACCAAAACTCCTGGGGAAATGGCGATCGGTTTTTGAAAAGAAGGATTTTTCTTTCTAGCAAACCACCAAAACTCCTGGGGAAATGGCGATCGGTTTTTGAAAAGAAGGATTTTTCTTTCTAGCAAACCACCAAAACTCCTGGGGAAATGGCGATGAAAAGAAGGATTTTTCTTTCTAGCAAACCGAAATCGGGAAAAAATCGGTTTTTGAAAAGGATTTTTCTTTCTAGCAAACCACCAAAACTCCTGGGGAAATGGCGATCGGTTTTTGAAAAGAAGGATTTTTCTTTCTAGCAAACCACCAAAACTCCTGGGGAAATGGCGATCGGTTTTTGAAAAGAAGGATTTTTCTTTCTAGCAAACCACCAAAACTCCTGGGGAAATGGCGATCGGTTTTTGAAAAGAAGGATTTTTCTTTCTAGCAAACCACCAAAACTCCTGGGGAAATGGCGATCGGTTTTTGAAAAGAAGGATTTTTCTTTCTAGCAAACCACCAAAACTCCTGGGGAAATGGCGATCGGTTTTTGAAAATTTTCTTTCTAGCAAACCCAAAAAACAGATTTTTCTTTCTAGCAAACCACCAAAACTCCTGGGGAAATGGCGATCGGTTTTTGAAAAGAAGGATTTTTCTTTCTAGCAAACCACCAAAACTCCTGGGGAAATGGCGATCGGTTTTTGAAAAGAAGGATTTTTCTTTCTAGCAAACCACCAAAACTCCTGGGGAAATGGCGATCGGTTTTTGAAAAGAAGGATGGCTGGAAAGAATGGAAAAGGAAGCAAGCCCTAGAGTCTTGGATGGACTCCAACCTCAACTTGGTGCGATCAGTGGGGCGTGTGGTGCAATGAGCCCAGGCTTCGGTCCCCGCAGAAGGGAAAACCACAAAGGTTGGATGGCTTGTTCTTGGGGCATCCCAATTCTCATTCCCTGCCTATAGCACCAGCAGGTCAGATTGGTTGGGATCTGGATTTCAACTTGGGTGAATGCCAAATAAACCAGGCTCCCAACTGCCCCTTTTGGCCTTCAACATGAGGCATTGCGAGTTCAGAGCTTCCCTGCCTGAGTTCCGTTTCGGACTTAAAACTTGGAAAGACCGTTTTCGTGACGTGCTAAATTTGAAGTTCAGACTTGTTTTGGCCAATCCACTCAGGAAGTGAGTGATGTCTTTTCGGGGGCCCACTAAAATGGGTGGGTGTTCCTTTAACTTTTCGTTGAAGCCAGAAACAAAAGGTACGCTCAAAGAATGGCACAGCCATATAAGGGGCAACACTACTAGTTTTTCCTCTAGAATCTGACGAAACTTGGGGCTTAGTCGGACCCCACATTTTCTTTACATTGGTGTGTTGTATTGCACGTTATGGGGTTTGGAGTTCTAAAGAATCATTTTGAGGTGTGTTGTGTTGCACAAGTTTTTGTTTGAGCTTCTGAACAGTTCCATGTTGTTTGGGGTTCTCAGAGAAACACATGTTTTGTTTGGCTCCCAGAGTTTGATTGTTTGGGGTTCTCAAATCTTTATTTGGTTTGGGGTTCTCATGGTGGACCCCCTTTTCTTTGAACCACGAGGGCACTTTACATGCCACTTTAGTAGACGTGGGCCAGGGTCCCTGAGTCTTTTTTCTCAGGGCATCGCCTTCAGTTCCTTTACAGGAAACAAGGCTTTGAGCGGAATCATGTGCCTGGCTATCCAATTATTAAAGGGGCAACCGGGTTGGTTTTGAAGAGAAGCCAAAGGAAACCACAAAAAAGCTGAACGCTTTATTTGCGGGTCGTTCCATTTCTCATTCCCTGCCATCTCGCTCACCGATCGCAACAGCTCCGCCGGCACTGGGCCCTGAGGTCGAGGCGGGCCGCGGCGCCTTCTTTTTTATGCCGAACCCCAAGTACCACTGGACCCCCGAGGCGCGCGAAGCGGAGTTTCGGAGTGGATCAAAAGGTCTTGTGATTCATGGGAGGACCATTGGGTTGGAAGAAATTCCAAGAGATGATAGTTCAAGCACATGGGGAAAGTTACTCATGGTCACGTGAAAAACAAGAATATTGATCAACATGGAATGGGCTGAGATGGTTACCAACCAAGGGTCCAGCATTTTGAGAAGCTTGCATAATTCAGTGGGTGATGTTGAGTCGGTGCCACTCATTCGGAGCTTGTTTTAGTTGACTTCGTCCGGACACGGGTCAACGGAAGCCCCCCTGACCATATCCTTCCAGGAGCCACCGACCGAAAGGTAAGCACCAATAGTGTTGAGTCGCCATCTTTGGGTGCATGTAGAGGCACTTTCCTCGGGTTGCTGTTTGTGATACCAAGGGAATCCGTTCTTATGAAATACTCAGCTGTTCAAAGCCGACCTTTTGACCTTTTGGCTTTCCTTTTTTGGTCCATTTTTAGTAGAGGTCCCAAAAGGTGATCACCTTTGATTTCCAGGTCCTTTGGGCAAGTGAGAATAGGAATGGCCTCTGTGGGCCCCGTTTTGGTCTGTTTGGCGGCTTCCCATCGATCGTTTCTAGAGATGACAGAAATGCCGAACTCTCGTCTGGCTTCCCCGTGGTTTGGAGTGGTGGCTTGGGGGTGACGCAAAATGGAAGCCTCCCCCGCAACATCTCCAAAGCACCACTCCACAGTGGTCAAAGATGTGTTCCAGTCGTTTTTTCTTTTTCTTTTTTTTCAACTGGGCATGGTCATGGACCATTTAGGATTTATTTCGAACCACAAGTTGATTCCGAATGGCCACCTGTTGGGATCATTGAACGCCGGTGCTAGGCGGCGTTCAACGAGGAGCGGAAGGCGCCCGACTTCTGGGGGGTTCGATCGGGAACCGACTCCTGGGGCGATCGATTCGGAACGTCAGGGAAGTGGTTGCCCTCTCTCCCACGAACATGGCCATGGGTCGTAACCTATGCCTCCATTTTGGGGCGGATGAGCACCCACGTACCACATATTTTGATGTTCAGCAGGGGTACAGGGATTTGACCCACAGCCACATGGCAACTGGCGTCCCTCCAAGAGGAAACTGATCTTACAGGCACCCTCCTGCAGATGCAATGTTAGTGGGAGGGAGGGTTGCATGCCTGGTGACCCACGGAGACTTATAACCATGGTAAGTGGGTTATAACTTACAACTGCGGTTAGTACCCACGTACTAAGTACCCGATCGTCGCTTTATGTACCAAGCAATGGATTACGCGTGTAAAAAAGTTGCAGCCCTTGCTTTGCAAGGCCCTCAACCTTGTCAATATGGGTCTGTGGTGTTTTTGAGGGTTTCGTTCTTGGGGTAAAGGGGAACTCAAGGGCAAACCACCCATTTTTTTGACACACCCATATGTTGCAAGCCACAGTTTGAGGGGCTGCAATTGCAGCGGTTGCTAGCTACATCTTGTCGGGGTTCCGGCTTAAAGTTCATTTGGGTGACCCGTTCGAGCTCTATGCCATGGCCTCTTTTAAACACATTGACATGACGGCTCTTTTGGGCGCAAGCCCTCGGACCCTGTTGGCTAGAACCTCTTTAGGGCCTTCGAAAGCTTTGGTGATCACATAGACAAATGCAGAACGGGCATTTTGCAGCTAGCAAGCCCTGTTCACATGGCGTTATTTGTGTTGGTTTCCCCTGGCTCAACCAAAAAAGAACATACCCCCCCCCCCCCCTGTAATTTCTTGGTTCCCAGTTACCCATGTAGGTTCCCAGCCATCCATTTTTGGGGTGTGGTTTCCATTTAAGCCCAGTGAACCCTTTTTTTGGGGATCCGAGCTGTCGAGCCGCCAGGCGAGATTCGTGGCGTGGTGGATCCACCCGGACTTGTGCCCGCGCCTCGCGTTTGGGGTGTGGGGGTACATGGGATGCGCCTCGCTAGAAAAAAGAAAAAGAAAACCTCACGGAGGTTTTTTCTGACCTGACGGCTTGACGGCTTTTCTGGCTTCCCAAAATGTCCGGCCGGGTTTTGCAGTTGCTCACCTTGCCATTGAGAGCTTCTTGACATTCCGGCCTGGAGTCAAGAATCCTCCTGGATCCCAGCCCCTCCCATGGCCACAAGCAGAAGCAGGAACCATGAAAAGAAGTCGAGCGCTCCATGGCTCTGACGAGCAAGTTTCGGAGATCGAAATTCTCCAAGTTTCGGAATCCATTCCTCTTAAGACGGATTCCCAAAATGGGTTGCCCGTTCCGGCAAATGGAACAGACGAAAACCCTTACCCATATATCATTGTTTGTACCTTGGATGAAGTGGGGGTGTTTGTCAAGAATCAGAGCGTCCGGGCAGAGGTTGAAGAGAGTTTCCACCGCTCTTCCAAACCAGTATGTGAAATTTGGCTGTACTACGTGTACATGTAGGGCCCCTGATTTGGGGGCTAACTTAGTGGTGGAAAGGGCCTCTTTCTCTGAAACAGAGTAGCATGCCATCCATTTGACTGAATGCCCCTTGAAAGAAGATGGGTGTTTCTCGGCAAGTCACAGGAAGTATCAAGCTGTGCAATTGTGGCAGCCTGCGCATTGCGAATGCACGTCAACCTCCCTTGAGAAATCGCAAAGGTCCCCCCCCAAAACAACAAATGATTAAAAAAGGACAAACGCTCGAAGAGGCCCGCTCGTTTTGCAAAGGCGGGTTTTAGGATCCCCCAATCTCCCAACACCCAGGGACTGAATTTATTAGCATGGGTTGTGAGACTCCGTCTGATCTTACGGCACGGTGCGGGTCCCAAAGCTGGCTTCTATTGGTCCAGAGATATTCTTTTTGGTTGTTTGGCAACGAATAGATGGCCTTTGGTTGTATCTGCTTTTCAGGGACACCTATGCACCTTGGTCTCCGAACCCAAAACATTCAGCCAGAATTGGACACCCATGTTTGGGCCACCTTTCAAGCAACTGGAGTCTCCATCCGAGTGCCTGGTTTCGAGTGTCTGAGGTCCTTTGATGAAGCACTGGCCGGGGCCCCAGCACCGAGCCGTAGGTGGTTTCCGATTTTCCGGTCGAAGTTGAAGCTTGCAGGGTTGATGAAATATCTTTCCATGGGATAACCATGGAGACCGCAAAACTAGATGACTTTCACCACATGGAAAGAGTTCACCCATAATGGTCATTTTGGGGCCAGGAATGCTGAGAACCCCCAGATCAACTCAGTTGAACAAAACATAGGATTATTCCCCTAAGTAAAACGTACAACGCCCTCATCAAGCAATTTCTGGGCAGGCTTGTTGTCGACGCTTCGGGGTTCGGGGAGAGGAGGGTTTGCGACATCACCCATGACGAAGATTTGTTGAGATCCCTTATTTTGGTTGGCGCATCGTAAGTTGTCCAGAGGAATCAACCTGGGGTTCTTAGTCAACCGGGATTGTTTTTTCGGCCACCTGCCGTTCAGCTTCTCGCTTGGTTTGGATTGGTCGTTCAGGGGGGTCTCCCATTGAGTCAGGAGAGCTGGTGCTTGGGTGTTCGCCTAAGCTAGTCTTGCAACCGACGGCTCCTGACACCTGGCCGTACTTAGGTTACTCATCACCTCTCCGAGTTTCCCAAAAGACCTAAACCCTGGGGCCAAACCAGTGTCCTTTGGTCACCGTAGCTTTTGGCCTTCTTGGTTCTTCATCGTTCAGCAATGAGTTCATCCATTTCTACCACGCTGATCGGGACCTGCTCCACGGCGTTTCTCAAAGTGGTGGACCCGCAGTTCGAGGGCAATGAAAAGGAAACCGAAAGCAAGCCGAGCAATTCAAGGGACCCCAGTTTTGGGAAACACCAACAGGACCCGCAAAAAATTGCGCGGAGTATCGTGCCAAAGTCTTGGCAACTCAGCCGTGCACAGCCCCGGGCTTCTCCACCTGCCAAGCCTGGGACCGCCTCTCCACCCCCCAAAACTCGACCCCTCCGCTTCCCGATGAAAAGTGGCCCCTCCGTTCAAGCGTGGCCCGTCACGCGACAAAGCATCACTTGATTGGGTAGAAGGATGGGGAAAGATCCAGGTTTGCGTTTGTTGTTGGGGCTAGTGGATAGGCAAGGAGACTGAAAGAAAACAGTTTGCGGAAATGGTTGCCAGTCCCAAAAAATCGGATCGTACAATCTCTTTGTAACTGTTGGGGTTTTTTAGCATCCCTCGGCGTCACATGGAAGCCATGTTCACAACGAGAATCCGCCGACCCCGACGTAGCTGACAACTTTTTCCTAAGATGTGAAAATCCCAGGCCCTGCTGGACCTTGACGGTCTCATATTCTGCCAATTTCACGAACCCAGTTTGTTCATTTGGGGCTCCGTCTCTGATTGTCTGAGAAGTTTTTGGGAACGCCCGGCCATGCTGCAGCCGTGCTGGTGATGTCAGCAGCCTTCAACCGGGTTGGCATGTCTTCCCATTCCCATTCTATGGATTTGGGAACATTGAGGTGTGACATGACTACCGGTTGTTTGCGGACCCCCTTTGACATCATGCTTACAGCACAAACAGAAGCTTGCGCAAGCTGGGCTGGTAGGCATGGCATCCCCAAGCTTGATCATCTCGTGCTTGAAAAATTGTCAAAAGATTTGGAATGAGATGAACTCATTCATCTTTCCTTGACCCTCACTCAGGTGTGAAATATCCCCAGACGCGTTGGGAAGATAGCTTTCTCAAAATACGGGCATTGTTGGCTCCCATCTTAGTCTACGGTGTGTGTGTGTGTGTGGGTGTGCCAAAACTTAGGTTCAAGAATTGTAACTGTTTCGAGCAGGAAACAGCCAGCTGAGTGGGATTTCCAGTTCTGATGCCATCAATCTTGAGTTTGGGTGCCAACAAGAACGCTTCCGGAATCCCTTCCGCCCAGAGCTCCGAAGCACTCCGGACCCACTAGCTTTCAGCGGAAACACACAGACAGCTTGTCGAATCCGATTCGATTCAAGCAACTAAACTCACTTCCCGAGTTCTTGGACTTTACTCACTTTTTGGGTTTGGACCATTCTAGTGGCAAACAAGAAGTGCCTGGACATCTTCTTTTTTGGAGCTTTCTCAGGAAGAGAAGAGGATGGGATATGTTCCCAACTTTTGGGCACCCGGTTCATTCGACTGCCCCTTAGGACAGGACAGGCCACGGGCGGGGGACTTGGGTCTCGAAGGGCCTCAGTTCGAGTAACCATTTTCCGAATGCCCGAAGGAAAACCACCGCGTTTCTCGAAAAAACAACCGTGTATCCCGGAGGAAAACTCGGGGATGTCGGATGTGTATGTCTAAAAACAGCTTCCAGCACCCCAAGTTTTGCGCCCAGCTTGCCTGCTGAGCTTGATGGATCCCCACCTCAATATTGTCCACTTAGAGACGAAGAACATCGAATCGGGAGTGGGTGTTGTCTTGTTTTGCCTTTCATCCAAAGTGTTCAAATCATGGACGCCTGGGTTGATTTGTTTTGCGTTTTGGTTTCCATGATTTTCGCTTTCATCCAACAGCCACCTTTTTTGTGCCGATCTAAGTCCAAAACGCGGAACCCATTCCGCTCCCTACCTGGACTTTGGTTTCTGTTATGCAGCCATGGAGTTAGCTTGCCATGTTGGGAATGAACCGGAAAGGGGATTCCCGAGTGAAGGAAGCCACAGGATGGGCGGCTAGGTCCCCCAGTAGTGCCCTTTCTCACCCCTCTTTTTGGGGGAGGGTACCCCTGCTAAAATAGACTACAGAAAAAAGTTGGTACCCTTATTCTAACCTCTCTACTGGAGGACCTAGGTGGCTGATTTTTCGGGGTCACTCCGATTCTCATGCGCGGATCGGGGTAAGGGCGAGAGCGTTGGACCCACCCTCCCCACCCCAAAAGACCTGGAAAACCTGACGTTCTGGAGAAGGGGTTCCTTTAGAAGGACAATGGTCCAAGCCAGGACCCCAATGACTGTCACGTCAGGTGTGATATATATATATATATAGTACCCCCCCCCCAAAAAAAAAAACACACACAAAAACCTGCCCCAAGAGAATTGGACGGTATTTACAGTACTTTTGCGTGATTTCCACCCCCCTTTTCAGGCCCTCCAGTTTTGACCCTTTTCAGGCACTCCAACTTTGACCCCCTCAAAATCCCAAAACGCTTTAAAGCGCTTTAAAGCATTTTGGGTGGGGGAAACTAGATTCAAGATTCCAAATCTAGAGTCCTGAGAATCTTGAATCTTGAATCTTGAATCCAAAAGTGGTGCCAGACTGGATTCAAGATTCCAGATCTAGAGTCCTGAAGATATTGAATCTTGAATCCAAAAATGCTTTAAAGCGCTTTCAAGCGTTTTGGGGAGGGCAGACTAATAAAGCATCTGCTTTCATCAATTACTGTTTGGGTGTGCACCTTCATCATCCTTTGGACTTGTGTACCATCCGCAGCTTAACTGCCAAATCCTGACATCTAATCTCATTCTGTGACATCACCATGGACAAAGTGAATGTGTCGGGTACCACGGGCCTCCTCCGAGATGGCAGAGACCTCATCACCTTGGAACGTGAGATCGCTCATGCCCCGTCAGATGATGTGCCGAAATCCAAGGATGCAATTTCCTCCATTGAGAAGGGCGTTCGTGATGGTCACGTTCACGTTCACCCATCTCGCTTGCCTCTCTGACATCCTTGATGGCCAACATTCAGCTTGGTTTTCGGCTCCAGCCTCGTGGTCTCCATGGGCCCTGGCCAGAGGCGGGCGCAGCCCCTTTTCGCCTTAGAAGATGCCTGGCGCTGGAAAACATTGCCGAGACCAAGGGTGGCCATGCCTGCCGCAAACCTGGCGCTGGAAAACATTGTCGAGACCGAGCGTGGCCATGCGGAGCAAGATGGGAATCCCAATGCCAGCATCGAGGCCAACGACGTCGGGGAGTCTAGTGAGGCCAACTGCACGGACGAGCCCGAAGGCGAAGCCTACGATGAGGATGGGGAGTCTGAGCACGCCCGCCACGATGCAGAGGAAGAGCCTGACTCAGAGTCAGAGTCCTCATCAGACTCCACATCGCGAACTTCGGTGTCTCACATCTCGGAAGAAAGGTTGTCACCCACCCCATCGAGCTGGAGCTGGAGAAGAATGCCCTCAGCGGCCGCGTTGTCAACCTCGAAGACTCCTTGGCCGGAAAGGACTACCAGATAGGCGTGCTGACCGCCGAGGCGCAGAAGCTTGAGGAGGAAGTTGCCTTTCTAAAGATCCAGGCGGCCAAGAAGCAGAAGACCAGCCACTAGCCACTGTACATAGTGTGTCGATTTGTTTGGTTGGAGTATATATGGAATGGCAGCGCAAGCAGAGGCGAAAAAACACAATGCAGAATGCAGCTGTCCGCTTTCAGACACACAGCAGGGTGCACATTCTCCCTAGCAATCCTGGATCAAAAAGAACTTAGCTGCAGTAACTCACCCCTATCCCTGTAGCTATAATGGCATTGTTGGATGAAGCCGTGCCCAGTATGGTGGGAAGCAGTTCATGTACGACGAATTGTCTTCTCCTTCCTGCTCATTCAAGACCGCTGACAGCACCCAAAACCCGTTACGCGCTAAGTCTCTTCACAACTTCAAGCACCGGTTCCCGCTACAGGAGGCGCTCTTCCTAGATGACCCGAGCCGGGAGAGGCTGGACTTGAAGTCTTATGACAGCTGAGGGCAACGACCTGGATGAAGAGGATGAGCCGAAGCTAGATGGATCACGCATGATGAGTTCATGCGGCTACTTCGTAAAACCTTCATGAGGGATAAGACTGCAGACGTCTTGGCTGTCTTAAAGCGCGCAGTTCGGCAAGAACGCCTTGTATGTTCGCCTTCCTGACCAGAATCCGGTCCACCGGGTGAACATCGCCAATGCTCATGTGGATGCCTTGTCCGAGCGCGACAAAGCGCAAACAAAGCGCAACACGCTCTCTTCAAGCGCGGCGAGTACGAGACAGGGGAGTTCTACAAGACTGACCTCCAGAAGGCGGGGATGGCCAAAGCTGACGGCAGCTGGAAGGAATGAGGTGTACGTCAAGAACATCAATGAGGACTTGAGCAAGTACTTGTTGGAGGCTCATCACATGAAAGTGGACAAGTTTTTGGAAGAGGCGCCCAGTGGCCACGGACTTGGACAGCAATGGCAAGTGGATCTTCCCCAAGCCCCTGCCAATTGGCACTGTGGCTCTTGACACGGGACTTTGACATGCCTGGCAATCGTGTTCGTGTGAAAACCTGTCCCCGGGACGTGGCTGCCGGCGCCCGCCAAGTGTTGGACACGGATGAAACGCAGCCCACCCAGCAAAAGAGAATGAACTTCATGAGCCTGGCGCTGCTTCGCCCAGCAGCGGCAACGCCAACTTCAACGAGTATGATCATGCGGCGGATAAGGAGGCAGCTGCTTTCATGGATACGTCAGGGAAACGCTATACAGGATCTTGCGTTCGAAAGAGTTTCTTGAGCGTGCTCACTCGCTAGCATTTGCCGCAGATTCTTCAGCTGCATCCTGGAATGGCTGCCAAGTTGCGGCTTCCCTCAACCCAAGCGTGGGCAGGGCCGCACCACAATGAAGAGACCGGCTTCGAAGAAGAGCAAGGCATGGGAAAATGTCAAGTACACCCGTGGAGATGCGAGGGCAACGGAAAGAACAAAAGCCATGGAAGAGGTCGATGACCGAGCTCCTCATGGCTAGCGCGCACAAGATTGCGGAGATGGTGCGATCGCTTGCTTCCGAAGTGGGAGGGCTGTCGAAGCTCCAAGCAGATCCAGCTACCGACGTGCCGAAGCACCGATGCAGCCACAGGAACTGCCGCGTGTACATCAACCCGCACCACCTCCATCCGCTCTTCGTCGATGGCCGTCCTTGGCATGGCCTCCCTCGACGTCCGCCCACTTAGCGCCAGCGCCGAGCTTTGCATGTGAAGCAGATCCGCTTCTGTCCTCAATGGCAGATTGCTGCTGAAGCGAAGTATGGCCCGCCCCACGCACGGCCAAGCGCCCTGTTGCGCAGCAGTGGCAGCCTCGAACCTCGCCAAAGGAGTCTGTTAAGAGAGCTCCTGGCCCAGGTGCGATCCGAAAGATCGAGTGGACACCTCTTACCAACAAGTGGCTCCGCGATCGCAAAGTGATTCTCCACTCCGACGCAGCCAAGAGCTACAAAGTCAAGATCGATGGAGTCTTGCAATGACAAGGTCATTCACTGCAAAAAGCGGAAGCTCATCAAGTTCCACTGGAGATTCAACCTCCCACATATGTGAAAATAGTGACCCACAACAATCCGGACACGAAGAAGCTCATGAAGGTTAAGTCCGGCACGCAGGTCATTGGTCGAGCCTGGAGGTACATGGACAGAATCAGAACACCATGGTTGGGTCTGCCGCGCTCTGAGCTAAGCTCCGGGCCCGCACAGCACCAGTATTGGCTGAAGAATGCTGACCTATGCGAATCATCTGGGGAGCTATGCGAGTGAGTTTGTTCCGTCCCCCAGCATAGGAATGTAGGTGCAGGGAGTGGTCTCGCTACAGCTACAGGCGTGTGTATGCTGTATGGGCATAAAAGCACAAGAGCGCGCCAAAGCAGCCTGGTCTTTGCTGCATCGCCCATCTTTACAACAACTCTCATCTACCAGAAGGAGTCTGTCATGCCTGACAACAAACATGTCTTAACATCTACACAAGTCTGCCAACATTGTGGCTAACCTCTGTCTCAAATGGCCTGACTCCCCTTGCAAAACCCGTGGGCGCGGGTTTTGGGGGGGGTATATATATATATATACATGTGTTGTTTTTGCTGTCGGGCTGCTAACCGTCAGTGCAAAACCCACGTTTCGGAGCAATGAGTTTTTTCTTTTCAGTTGCGCGCCGGCAGCCGTTGTGTTTGTCGGATCCATACCTGGCAGGCAAATGGTAAGCACACCCGGTCACAGGCACCACCCGCTCAGCACTGTAATTTGTAAGCACACCCGCCCACGCGAACCCGCTCAGCACTGTATCCACGCTAGCCAAATGGTAAGCACACCTGCTCACACGCACCCGCTCACGCGCACCCGCTCAGCAGCCAAATGGTAAGCACGCGCACTTGCTCACGCGCAGCCGCTCAGCACTGTATCCATGTCAGCCAAATGGTAAGCACAACCGCTCACGCGCACCCGCTCAGCACTCTCCATGCCAGCCAAATAATACGAACACCAGCTCACGCGCATCCGCTCAGAACTGTATCCCTGCCAGCCAAATGGAAAGAACACCCGCTCACGCGCACCCGCGCAGCACAACGACTCACGCGCACTTGCCCAGCCCTGTATACATGCCAGCCAAATGGTAGGCATACCATACCCTTTTCAGCCACCGGCGCGCACCCTTTTCCTGATCTCATGACGATCTGCTCAAAACACTGTTGTGAGCCATGCGCGTGTTGATCCATTGAAGTAACACATTTGCCTGATTGAAGTGACACCTGCAGGCTCTAGCAAAAAAGGTGCCTGTTAGCAGAAGTGCTGCACTTGCCAGCGAAGTAAGAACACGGACCCCAAACAACATGAGCCACAATCAAAACCAGGGTAGACGAAGGTTAGCAAGGGACAATCCCAACCATAAATAGCTGCGGCCGCCTCCTTAATTCTTTACATGGTTCTGGGTAGACCATTTTAATACCGGGTTTTGATTATGACTCACAGGTCTTTTTAAGTGTGTTTTGGGGTGAAAACGAGAGGAAGCACTGAGCGAAACACAGGTTCGGTCCAAAAAGCTGACAGTTTCCAGACCGGCGGGTTGTTTTTGCTTCGGGCTTCCATCCCAGGTGCCTTTTTTTTGGGATGTATTTCCTGGACTCCGGGTGAACCTTTTTTTGTAACCGAGCGGTTGGTTCTCCACCCGAGGCCACCAGCCAGGCCGACGGATCGATGGATCGATCGATGGGCGACTCCCCGCGACCCTTTTCTGGAAAAGGGCGGGTTGCTCCTTATGAAACACTTCAGAACCTGGATCGCCAGTTGCTGTTTTTTTCCATGCACTTTACCCCAAAAACCAGCAACAGTGACTGAAAAAAGCAGCAACTCGGCTATCTAGGAAACCCTTTTTGAGAGGCACGGGGCCCGCATGTCCGAGCGATAGAAATAGAGCGGAGAGATTTTGTGATGTGCGTCAAATAGTGGGTTTTCCTTGCAAAAAAGGTAGCCTGAAGAAAAGCGCAAAAAAAAATCGACCGCCTGAAATAGAAGGTTCCCCGGCCAAAAAAAACACCACTACGAGGCTGGTGTAACTGACCAGATGCTGTTGCCATGGCTTCCGCCCGAAAGTTGAAAGGGTCCGGTACCCATGGGATTGTCTCAAAATACCCAACAAGGGCTCCCCCAAAAGGACGAGCCACTCATTGTGCAGATAGCCAAGTTGCTGCTTTGTTCAGTCACTGTTGCTGGTTTTTTGGGTAAAGTGCATGGGAAAAACCAGCGACTTGAGATTCAGGTTGTTCTTTTCAAGCTCCAGGGAAGTCTGGCCCGATGCACTTTTGGTCCGTCAAAGGACATGGCTTGGGGTTGGGATGTTCAGCTTCTTACTCGAGGTTCCATGTTTCCGCCAAGTGAGATTCCTCTATAGATGCCTGTTTTTCGGATTAACATAGCCCCATGACATATATATCTATATATACACATGTATGTATTCATAGGTGTCATGTTTCTAACCATGGTGTGTGATTTCCCCTACATACGTGTGGCCGACCCCAGTGTGGTACACCTGATGAAAGCGAGGCCCGCCAGTTTGGTTGCTCTTTGGCTTGTTCGACGTTTGCGACGTTTGACCCACCATTTTGCCAAGGCTGCGCAGACGTTGACCGCATCCCAACGCCCCCTCCTCCACAGACTGCTCCTTTTCAAAGCGCTTGACTTGTAGATCCACTCAAGTGAGGATGCGCAAGGCCTCGTCTAACTTGGAGGCGTCGTGATTTCACGGCACTACGTTTCCCCGAGTAATGCTCAAGATTCGGACAAATCAAGAGTGAGTTTGTGTTTGGTGTTCAACGAAGCAACTGGGGATCCCCATTTCTAATTAGCAAAGTCGAAGATGACGATTAAGTTCCTCCCGACGGTCCAACTCCCCAAAATGGGGCGTTGAGATGAAATCAACATTGGAACCTTCTTTTGGGTTGACTAAGAAGGATGCGTCTTTTGAGCGCCGATTTTGTTGGTTTTAAAGGGGCATCCAAACTGAAACCCACAATTTTCAGGTTACCCCTCTTTTTTGTCCTTCTTTTTTTGCGACCACGTATGG